GACAGACATAATTCCTTAATCCCACCAGATGACAGCATTTAATAAAGAGGAAGTGGGATTTATCCATACCAAATGGGCAGAAACAATTGAGAAAGGCGATCCCTCAGATATGCCATGATTTGGAAACAGGTCTTTGACTGTTTACATTCACATCAGCCCCAACCATGTTCAGAATGAGTGATCCACATTTGAGAAGGCAGATAAGCATGAATGAACTATACTAAATCCTGTTCATATAGCTCCCTTAAATATCTCCTCAAGCTGTTTTTCTTTCAATTTCTGAGTTCAGTTTCATTTACTGGAACTAATGAGGAAGAAAAATAAATGCAAGTTTAGGTCAGCAGGAGGGTTGGGGGGTGCAACTGATTTTTTGTGAGCCTTTCACCAGTGTTCACTTTATAATTTCTAAACAGATCTCTCTGGCTTCATTTTGTGGAATAACTATAAGAAAATATTTACAACTCTTAAGTTTAATTAATTAATTTAACTAATACAAAACTGTATAAACCCAGCAACTGTTCTAGGCAGAGGCAACATTAGATATTTAATACGCTAATTTATTAATATGGCTTTATCGTGTTGATCACACCTAATTAAGAGATCACTAAAACTTGTGGGGTAATAATCTTATGGATTTGTGGAAGGAGTTCCAAATTCAGGCTCTAACAGCTCAGAACTAGAAATGTTTTTTCCTAAAGGCATAATGAACTGCTGCTAGTCAATATACTCAAGATAGTATAGTCTCCAATGTGCCTATCGATGAATCCTTAAATGTAGTACCTATAATACAAACACTGTATCTTGAACTAAGCAAATTATTCTCAAATCAAGAAATAGGATTGAAACTATATTTAGTCATGTTTAAAGTAATCTCATAAAAATTCTACTTAAGTTAAGGAACTTGTAAGTTAGTAAGGAACTTAAGTAAGTTGTGGCTCTGAGTCTATTCTACGCATGACAAAGTTGTACAAAATACAAGCAACTTTCTATAACAGAGATGGAAAAAGCAACTTTTATGAACAGTAAGTATAGTTACTTACAAGAACACTGTAATGATTCTTTACCCAAAAGTGGTTTTTCACATGTGGAACATGGCATTACCCCAGCATAAGATCCAGAAACAAAGTGATGTCTGTTGGCTTTCTCTTTTTCTTTGGCATCTTTGTTTTTTGCCTTAATAACCAAAATGGGAAATACAAATACAAATTTAGTTTTCAGAGTGATACAGCATTAGTATCTCCAGAAACAGTCAACCACCCCACTCAAAAGAAGCAACGAATCATCTTTTCATTCCTCTCCATTTTGTAGAGCAATATTCCATAGATATCATATGCTTACATGTTTATACAAACCACAGCAGAATAACCTCATTCAAATAACATTTGGTCTAAAGCACCAGACTAAAAGCAAGGAGATTCTGCATTGTAGTCCCCACTTTAGGTATGAAATCCAGTCACACTCTTTCAGCCCAACAACACAGAGTTGTTGTGGGGAAAAGAAGACAAGGAAGAAGTCTGTTTGCCGCCATGAATTATTTTCAAAAATAATAAAAGCAGGATAAAAAAAAAATCTAAACAAAATAAAATAAATAATAATCTTTGTTTTTGGAAATGCTGGATATTGTAAAAAAAAGGAACCAAAAATGCATAATCACTAAGAATGAGGTCAGCACTTTCTGAAGGCTATATCGTTCAGAGATGTAGGAATCATCTTAAGATAGTTCTGAATATCTTCATATCCATATGATTACACAGGACTATGTATGAGACTTTTTCCAAAATAAGACGTTGTAAAAAAAATTGAATGGAATCAAAACAGCAGCAGATTAGAAAAATATTGGCATAAATCAATTTTAAAAAAATGTTCCAAAAGTGTCCCAAAATCAGAAGGGGAATTTTTAGCATATAACTTCAAAAAAAACCCTCTGATCTTGGTCCTTCTATCAAATTCTGTCCCTTTCCCCCTTTATTTATTGTCACTTTATTTATTCCCCCTTCATTGTCAAGCATTTTCAGACAATGAAATGATAAATCCTAAACTAATATAGAAGATATTATTGTTTCACTGTAGGTCAATGGTTCTCCTATTTTTTTTTAAAAAAAAAAACCTCTTACAACAGGGAAATGTTTTCTATTCAATATGTCCAAAGAAATATTTCTCACTTCCAAGTTATAAAATCTCCATAAGAATTGCATTTTAGTGACCATCTTTTTATTGCAAGGACAGTTCAACACTTATAATATTTAAGGTTTTTTGTTTTGTTTTGTTTTGGGTTTTTTTTTGCTATAGTGCATTGATCACAAATTACCTTAGACTTATTTCGTGTACTGGCCATTCTATTCATTAGAAAACTGAATGTTCGGCTAACTTTATATTTTTCAGACTCTGATTTTGTTGGTATTATATACTTATCCCATTCTTCTTCTTGGATCCTAAAAAAATACCAGGAAATATCTTAGCATGTTATAAAGTAAACACGTATAATTAATAAAATGTGACTTTATTATAGGTCATAAAATACAAGAAAATAAATAACTGCATTCTTATATCTTATTTAAATGTGGAAAAACTCCATATAAATGCATTTCTGCATTTTATCCAGCCATCACACATTAATTTCAAATAGCATATCTGATTGATGCTGAAATTCATACATTTCTCAAGTAAACAGCATCTATTTGGCAATTATTAACAATAACCAAATTATATATATAAGCACTTCCTTTAAAACATACCCTTTTTCTGAGTGTTCATGCAAACTGAATGCGTGTGATTCTGTAACACAATAATAATGTTTAAAGTAATTATATTTTAGCAACAAGTAATTGTTGACAGCATAAGATTTTCATTTAAAAATTCATTTGTATTCATTCCATTTAAAACTTAATATTGTATACTAACATCCATGAAGCAGTAATAATAATAATAATAAAAGCTGAAAGTTTATGACATAAACCCACTGTTTGTGTGTTCCCAGTGGTTACTGACAGCTCAGGTGCCATACCAAAAAACCTGGACAGGCAAATATACGTGTTGACAACATTTCAATATGTCAGTTACAAAAGGTCACACAGCTTGAATGCAGACATATATTGCACTGATACATCATAACATCCTAGAACTGGCACCTGTGATTTCAAGTTATGATTATAATTATTATTATATTGTAATACTAAATTGCAGACAACAGCTTACAATACCTTTAATATTAGCAGTCCTTGATGCTCTCTGACCTTGCTTGTTTTCTTGCAGACATTTCATTACCCAAACTAGGTAACATTATCAGTGCTCTGCAACCCTGAGCTACAAATATTCTCCTTTATTAGCACCTTTAGTATTATTAAACAATATCTGCCCATACCTTGTTCTCAAGGACTCAGTAGGTGGACAAAAATGCCAAATCCTGGATGACTTTGTGACCAACCATAATAATATCAATAGTCATCTTTAGCCACAGGAATTAGCTTTCTCTTCTCAGGCTAACCTACCTCAGACAATTGTTATTATGGGGAAAAATGGGACAAGGGAGCGCCATCTATGCTGCCTTTTGCTCCTGAACAAAAGTCATCATATAAACTTAATAAGCAACTATTATTCTTTTTCCAGAACCTCAGTAATATACTGTATAACTAAGCTGTACAAAAATGCAAGATGCAGATTATAGGGAGAAAATGTAGTTGCATCTATTCATCCTTGTCTATCTTCACACATCCATAAATATAAACCTGATTTAGAAAATGGTGGAATGTGTAATTTGAATCTTCCCACTTCGAAAAAAAGATTTCCTCTTTTATGAAAAGTACACTTAATACCCTACATAAATATTAATGTTAGGTTGAATAAACCATGTTAACTTACTCTAAAAGTTCTAAGTATATTAAAATATCAGTGCTCACCATCATTTGAATCACATTGTATAAATTCCTGGGCATACTGTGGTTTGCCCAATAAGACTTTGGGTGAAGTATAAGAATATGAACGAGAACGAATTCCTGAAAGTAGAGATTCCTAAACATATAAAACAAACAACATATTTTGAAATGTTCTTATCTCTTTTTCAGTTTTTACAAAAGTTTTAATTGCAAAACTAGATATAACGATTGTTTCTTATGGAAAATTCCTTTTACTAAAATTTACTAGTAAATTTCAAATGTTAAAAAAATAATACTATGGCATTTTTGGAAAAAATGTAAGTATAGATAAGTTCTCCCATCAGTTAAATAATTGTTATTAATTTTATAGGAAAAAGAAAACAACGATACCTTGGACTGTAAACTGCTGGATAAAGGAAGAGATTCAGCTCTGTTCATACTACCATCCAATAATCTAGTGGTGGGCTCTGAAGCACTTAACCGCTCCCTATCACTAGGTAAGATTACAGAAGAGTTGTAGGACACTGAAGAATAGCAGTTATGGGGCCGGTTAGACATTCTTTCATCTCCATTGTCAACATCCAAGTCATCAAGACTGGAACTGGGAGCAAAGGAACACAAACATACACTGATTTACAAGAGTAGCTTTCAGTAGTTATACACAAGAAGTAAAGTATATTGTCCTTTCATCCACCCTACCTACTCTTAACAATTGTTAAAAGAGCTGAAAAATCTAAGAAATTAGAGGCATGCATTAGAAAAAGGACCGCATTTCCCCAAATGTCAAAATATAACCTTGTTCGTCAAAGATCAACAATATATCAACAAACACATCACAAAGTCCACATTTGCCCTGGCAGCATGAATTCAGAAACAGAAAAATAGTGATAAGAGATTTTAAATACGCTTCTCTGGGTAGGGGAGAGGGGAAAGGAAGGAGAACATTCTGTAAAAGTCATTCTTGACCACTTTTGCTATGTGTTATGTTTTTAGAGACCAGATAAGCAAAAAGCATGTTAAAACCAACATGGTGCATCAGAACAGATGCAGGAAAAGTTTTGGAACCCTATCCAACACATTCCTTTTCCTTTCCAAACCCGTGCAACCCATATTTATTTTATAGGACAAAGAAACATAAGAATAACAGAATCCCTATTTGCCTTGCACTGTTCTTTTGGCATGTTACTAAACTAATAAGTAAATGACCAGAAAAAGCAGTATTAACATGATAATTATAAAAATGACCCATCAAAATTCTCTCTCTTTTGTAATTTCAACAGAACTTTTTTAACAAAATTAGGTACAAATCTTATTAGTTGGTACTATATTTCCTTTATTAAAAATGTGATTCATTAAGTTTTTACTCTGTTTTTTGGCTCAGTCATGAAAAGAATTATTGTTTTTATAACAATGCAATCAAAAGCTAGCACATACCTTCGCTTTTTAATGAAGGGATAACGATGATTCCGTAGATTACTAAAAGCATGTGTCTTCTTTAATGGCATGTAAGAATCTGTTGTATCCAAGCTAGGTATCATAGGTGATGATACATTTCTGTTGCTTGGAATATTTTCCAATACTTCTAGATCTTTATTTGAATCAGAAGTACTCTGGCTGTTATTAATGTACTTGACACCAGCATCTTCCATCTAAAGTATGGAAATAAAATTATTAATGTTAAATACAAAATAATGCAAAATGATGTAAAGCTAAATTCAGCTATTAGAACATTAGTATCCCAACAGAAAAAGTTGAGAGAGGGGGGGTATACGTGCATGAAATGCACATAAAAGAGATAAGAGAGAACAGTGTAAAACAGATCAATTTGGATGGGTGCATGAAATAGACCAAAATAAAAGAAGGGATAAATGGTGCAGGAAAGAGATCGGCAGCACATAGGCGATGAAATAGGAACACAGAAGACATTTTTGTACAATTCACTCAGTAGTTAAGGGGAAGGAAGGAAGGAGGCTGAGATTTGCAAACCAAAACCATTGCTTGCAGGTCTTTCATGTTTTTTTAACTTTTAAAATATTTGTGTTGAATTTATAACTGATAAAAATTAACATCAATTAGCCCCAAAATGAAATGTCTTGGCTTAGTACAGATTAAGAGCTATTTCAGAAGAACTAAGTGCAAGGTTCTTGGTATCCTGTTTAAACAAAAGCTTTTAATTTTACCCTTCATCTTTTAAAAAAAGAGAGCATTTTAATCCAGAAACTTTTTTTAAAAGTATCAATACTATACAAGTTTGAGGAAAAAAAGAAGAGTCCACAAACTGTTGTAGAATTATGCAAAGCTCCTCTAAAATCAGTGGGACTTCAGCAGATCATTTTTGGCCAACACATTTTTGTTAGTGGGTGTGTAATGTGTATGTGTGCGTGTGTGTGCGTGTGTGTGTGTGTGTCTTTGTGTGTATTAACACACTTAGGATATAAAAGATAAATATTTCTCTTGCTGCTTTCCCTTGAAATAAAATAAACAAATACTACTTGTGCAATTCATTACTTGATATAATCACATACTTTCAATAGCATAGGTAACTAATCTCAATATACACCTGTCAATCTTACCTGATCTACTACCATGCGGTTTGCATACACTTCATCACTTCCATTTAGCATAGCAGAAAGTTTGGCTGCTGCAAAGAAGGTGGAAGGATTTGGTCTTCTCCTGTAAGTTTCAAATGGGGAATGTTGCTGAGCTGGAATAAAATAATAGGAGAATTGATTTTTTTTCATGGCAATTCAGAAGAAAAATATTATAATTTTGAGATGAAGTTATTCGTGTTTTTGTCTCATGAGTAGGGCAATTGAGGTAAAAGGTTATCAGTCCATACAAAAAGCTTTGCCATTTTTTCTTCTTCCTCTTCCTACTATGTTGTTGTCACATTCAGCCCTCTATAGCAGGGTTATTCTAGTAGCCATGAAACATCATGGTCTCCAGATATGGTCATTGCTGATGGTCATAATGGTCATTGCTGATTTAGAATTCTAGAAGTTGTAACCCCATCATATTTGAAGATTGGTAAGTTAAATAAAGAAGGAATGAACAATTCCTAGAATTAGCTGTGGATGGGCAATGATGGGAAACTTACAGCCCTTCTTGACTATAGTTTGTAGTTATCTAGTGTTGGAGAATGGACAACTACTGTACATTTTAATTGATTAATTGATTAAATGTATTTGCCACCTATCTCATATCGAAAAGACTCTGGGCGGCTATTATTATTTTTTTATTATTATTATTAATTTAAACTTATATGCCGCCCTTCTCCCAACAGGACTCAGGGCGGCTCACAGCATATTAAAACAACACAAACATTATCCCCAATAAAAACCAATTAAAAACAAATATTTACCGCTGTGTTAATTAAAATTCTAATTAAAATATATGTCTTGAAAGAGTGAAACCATAGTTTAAAAGTAAACTGGGCCTATCTATTTTGTAGTCCTTAGCTAGTCATTGGCACCAAAATACAGTTCACTTGTCCTATCGTTATTAGATCAACTCTTTCTAGCTCTAACTTTTCCAATAAGAACTAATTATTATAAATACAGTAATAGCATGAAAGGTTCCTTATCATTTCAATCACATGACAGAGGAAGGCTGTCATTGTAATTACTGTCATCAATGAATCTATCAATACGGGCATAATTAAGATTAATAGAAGTGCTTAGAGCAGTGTTCCCTACATATCCCCATATCTGGGTCTACTACTTCTGGGATGGAGGGAGGGAGAATTACATGATTTTGTGATTTTTTTTTAAAGATCAAATGAGATTTTTTAAAACAGGAAGAATCTGACCAGCAGTTTTTTCCAAACTAAGAGTTCCACAAAACCTACAAGTTCTGATTCTGATGAACCTTACTCAGCTTCCTCTGTTCCCTTATTGGTGCAACACAAATGTTTTTGCTGGACTAAGATTGTTTCCAGAGTATGTTNCATGATTTTGTGATTTTTTTTTAAAGATCAAATGAGATTTTTTAAAACAGGAAGAATCTGACCAGCAGTTTTTTCCAAACTAAGAGTTCCACAAAACCTACAAGTTCTGATTCTGATGAACCTTACTCAGCTTCCTCTGTTCCCTTATTGGTGCAACACAAATGTTTTTGCTGGACTAAGATTGTTTCCAGAGTATGTTTTGAATCTTGGTCAGTTGTTTCTCCTTGAACCTTGCTATTCTCTGCATGACACATTGCAATTATGCCAAGTTGTGAAGGAGTTTCATTAATGCAACAGTATCTCAGCTGCTTATTATTTTTTAATGTTTCTACTATAACATTTCAAAATGGGGATTGAAGACAGGTAGAATCATCTGAGAGAGAAAGAAAAGGAAGTAAAATATTAAGTAGTAAGTATTGAAATCTCAGTCTATCCTCCATTGCCTGCCAACACATTTGTTTCCTCATAGTTTATTCATTCAGGATATAATCTGTTCAAATAAACAAGCAGCTAACCGAACTGGATAATGAAAACATTGTTTTATTGTAGCAGAAATTAGAGGTTATCAACTAGCCAATAGTACTAAATAAATTAAATCAACTCTGGAACTGGAAGAACGAAGGATTAACTCTTTCATCCAATGTTCTATCCTGAATTATTAAGGGTGTTAATACTCCTAATAGTTCCATGAAGAGAAACATACATAGCTCTACCCTTCTCTCTCATCCCTTTTAGTCCCACTGAAGTAATCCAATCAGGAAATAATCCAGTCCAGGAACTGGCACAAAATGGCTCTGTTCAAAGTGCCCCACCTAACCATGGCTGCCACCTGCTAAGAACCAGTCCTGTTTCGGAATTGCTACCCTGTGAAGAATCAGAACTGACACCACTCTGGATCTGTGCTGGGATGGCAGGAAAGCCATTTTTTCTTGCTAACATTGAGCCAGAGCTGGTTCTTGCTATCCAGACCATCACAGACTCTAGACACAGGGTCAACAATTAAGCAGCACCCCCTGCTCAGCCTGGAGTAGAAATGTATAGCTGATTATAATCAGCATACTGATACCACAACCCAATGAATTACCTCCCCCAGTAGTTTCATCTAATATTGCACTGTCTGAAATGTAAAGAAAATAATTTTAGTAGAACATTAGCAGAAATGTCCTGATGGTTACAGCTGTAAACAATAGAGCAATCTAATGGAATAAGCAGCAATTGATAAAGGAGATTGAGTTAGATGACCTTTAAGGTTTTTTCCATCTGATACACTGTATATGGTGACTAATATTATAAAAAGATCACTAAAACTAAAACTATCAGATGGAGTATAGAAATAACAACATTAATGGTTCTCTTAGAAGAGCTATGATGGAGTTAATACGCCAGCATGTAGTAAATCTGTAGTAAATTGAGATTTCAACTAACAGTGAAAGTCTGGAAATGAAGGACCTGCATTTTTCTTTACTTCATGTGTAATGATTAATTTTAAAAGCTATTAACATGCCATAGTGACAGACCTCTCTCCCTCATAAGACCAAAAACTCGCCTTATACATATTTATTGACCCAAAGTCAGATTTAGAAATTTAGATACCGCCACACCAGCTAAGGATTTCTTCAGTGCTTCACCAGATTACAGACAAGTCCATAGGGTGAATTATCTAGAGCAGGGGTTCCCAACCAGGGGTGCTTTCACCCCCTGGGGATACAAGACGATATTCCAGGGGGTGCGAAAACTTGGGTTTTCAAAATTATAGTGTATATGCACAATCCATTGCCATCATTTCAAACGTTTATAAGGGGTGCGAGAATATATCAGAAGCGTTCTAGGGGTGCGGTGTATAGAAAAGGTTGGGAACCACTGATCTAGAGGCTATATTATTTATGTCTTAATAGAAATTAAAAATTGGCAATCTGCTTGTATTTGAAGAAATGCTATGTAATGACTTCACTGTCTGCCCACATTAAAATAATTTCACTATTTCTCTGCTTCCCTAAATTTGCCACATGTTCTATACAAGGATTCTATGACAGGATTCTATAAAGTCTGAACTGCTTTATTTCCAGCTCAGCTGCAGCATAGCTGTAGGTAGTGAACCTGATCTGTGAGAAGAGAGCTGCGGCTCCATTTTGTCTACTGGAGTGTAATGGAATGTGCAAATGATCTTGGAAGATTGGGGGGAGAGAGAGGATTTGAGAAGGTGCTAAGGGATCAGATAAAAGGGGGAGGAACCTACAACTAATAAGAGGAAGAAACTTAGAAAGGGTCTTCCCTAACATATAAGAAATGATGGAAGATTTGTACTTTCAGATGTCCAATATTCTGTTACTGTAGTCTTACAATAAAGTAGAATAAGTTCACTTGTTGTGTTTCCTTCTGATCTACTTGGAAGACTGTCAGGGAAATTCCTGCCTCTTCCCATGTTAGCCTTTTAAGGTAGTCCAGATAAGGAGCATAATCTTGACTACTACCTCTGTATTTATTCTACATTAACAGAATGTTGCAAGATCAAAAATATTTCTCCCATTCTCTCTTTTTACTCTCAGAAAACTAGGGAGAGTCCTTCCCTCTCCTTCTGTGGGCTGACAAATTTTCTCCATACCAGTTGTCCCGTCCAAGGGTCAACTTGGACCCCCCAGGTTATTCTCATATACTATTACACTCCATTCCCACCAGCTATAGGAAAAACATTAACTTGAAGCT